AAAAAAAAACAAAGACAAGAAGAAACAAGTAGTGGAAGTGGATTATCAAAAAGAAAAGCTTTTGAATTTTTCAAGAATATGTCATTTTTGGAACCATTTGTGAAGAGAAGAAGGTATAATAAAAATTAAATTGTTAAGAAATTAGAATAATAAAGGTATCTTTTTTGTGTATTCTTAAAATTCTTTGTACGATAAAAGCAATTTTTAGACATTACTTTTTTTCCTTTTAGAACGATGACCAATGTGTTTAGTAACAGCTCATCTTCATTGCCAAAACAGTACACTCTTCAGAAGTATATAAGACATAAATATAATATTCATATAAAATTAAGAACACTTTTATATACAAATCACTAATGAAATCTCTATTGTCTATTCCAGAAACTTTAGTTCTAACAACGAAAAAGAAAATAATTTTTCTTTGGCAAATGCGATTACGTTCATTGAACAGAATTCTTCCAAAAATATAAAATCACCAGAACAAAATCGATATAAAACAAGCAGCGACAATGAAGTCAATGTATCTTCTACGAAAGCAGCTACTGCGATTGGACAATCTTTTACAGATGTCAAAAATTCAGCACATTTAAAGTAAATATTTTCACAAGCATTCGTTCGTTCGTAGGATTTCTTACTTTGAGAATTGAATTAGTTTTCATTGAAAGCTGTATTTTATATCTGTTCAATGTATATGTATATGTATATATTTGTAGATTTTAGATATTCATAGATTTTCTGTATAATAAAAATAATTATTGTTTCAGAGACTCATCTGCACATTTTTATTCCAAAGTATCAAACGACGATGCTTCTTCGATGTCAGCGTTAAGTGCCTGCGATTATGCGCGGAAGAAAGATTTGAATAGTAAATCAAAAGGAAAATCGCAGCCAGATGTTCTACAAAATGCAATTTGCAAAATTACATCTTTACTAGAAAATAAATACTCTTCAAATGTTTCGACTGCCTCGTTATCTCTAAAACCAGAAATAGAGGAAGATGTAGCTTTTTGTCAACTTATACTTTCTTCACTTGTAAAGATGCAGCAATGTGAAAACGTGGAAAAAAAGAAGAAAATATTGCGTATTATATATGATGTATAGAATAATCAAAGTTTTTAAAAGACTGACACAACTTTGAAAAATGCAATTTTCTGGCAATATATTTTTTTATTTAATTTTGTTTTGTTTAGTTTTAATTTAATAATATAAAAATTGAAGCAGTTGAATAGTATTTGTTTTATAATAAAATGTATTAGCATTAATGATTTAAGTTTTGTTTTGTTTAAAGTATAAAATAATATAAAATGTATCAGTATAAATGATATACAATTATATTTTGTTCAGAGTTTAAATATAATAATACAATATATTAGCATAAATATCAAGTTTTGTTTTGTTAAAAATAAAATGTATGTACATTTAATAAGTAAAATATAATGTAATTTGTATTAAAGTATCTTATGGATCATCATGATGCAGCCCTCTTCTAACATATTGATATTGCCATGGAACTTCACCTTGTGGTGTTAAAAAATAATCAGCCAATTTATCTCTTTGTTTATATGCAACTGTAGTTGCATGATGCATTGAAGTAGGAGGTATGTCTCTGAACGCATTTTGTAGCGTCATTCCATCATACTTCCGCATGTAAGGAGAAATAAAGATAGAATGACGCTTTTAAGAAATTATTTTAAATTTTAGCTTGCATCATCTCCGTCTATTCCTCTCCCTAAAAAGCTTTCCCACTACTTTAATATTTTCCCAATCAATATAACAATAAGGATAGACGTTTCTTTCTCCATCTCACATTTCCACCAATTAGAATTCTTAAAGTTCTCTCTACTTCTCATTACACATCACTAGTTACAAACCTCATCTCACTTTCGCTACTCCTAACGAATTTAGTAATAGTTTAACTGCAAAATAGAGCTTACATTCCAAATTTACCAGATTCTTGCTGATCTCTTCGACATTCACTTAAAGAAACTTTCGGCAACGCGAAAATTAAAAAATCTAAAACTTTATATAATTATAGACTAGTAGGCTCTAATAACGAAACAATTTATTTTTGGTGCTGAAAAGCGATTTTAGGGGTAAAAACAACCCCCTATAAAAACCCTATATAATATAATAATTATATTATTTTTATATCGCGTAAACTTTTTGCGTCAATTATTTTTTACTTTAATATCAGTGTGCTATTTGATCTTTGTTAAATATTACGCCATAATATTTATCAAAATGTTATCTTCCTTTTAATATAAAAGTCGTACGCTTCTGCATTTCATTCATAGTCTGACGTTATTTGAACAATTATTGTTCGATTTAAATGTCCCGTACCTTCATTCAGAATACATTTCATAAAATTTATCATTCATCCGACAGAATTTCGAAATAATTAAGTAAACAAGAAGAGTTCAAACTTCGAGTCATATCACCTCACGAAAATTGTATAAACGTAATTCTGAATCACGTCGGTCACAGCGCGCATGACCATGAATCACCGAAATCATCTCCTCTCATGCAACCCATTCAAAGGTTCTCGAATTTTTCCATAATTTTCTCCAATCCGAAATAACTATCCTCATTTCTAACACGTCATCTCCATCGAATCCGATAATAGTTATCCCCGAACTTCCTAATTTCCAAACCTAGTCGATCCCTATAAAAATCTCAACCCGCGGCTCTTCGGGCTGAATTTTGCTAAATTTTCTGAATTTTCCAATTTTCGATTTTCATTTGATTCTCTGCTAATTTCTCTGTTTGGTCTTCACTTGAGTCTGAGTTTTCCTATTTTCCGAATCGAACGGTCTATTCACGTCGACAATTCGTTATCCATTACTAGTGGAGACCAATCTCGACCAACGAGATCGAAATACCTCACAGCAAAGGGCGAGACCAGTTAGAGGCCATTTTATCCAGCACACGCATTCCTGTGCGGGAAGCTCTTCGAAGAACGATACGGACACTTTACCCCCCTTTTTCACCCACCTTCTGCCATCTTCACCCAACCAAGTCACTTTGCCATCATATCCACCTTCTCCTCCATCTTCTCCCCCATATTATTAGAGAATACGGTTTTCACAGCGATGACTTATTTTGATAGAAGAATAGTGTTATACGTTTGAAATTTTTCTTTCGCATATTTCAATTCTCACCCGTCTGTCACATGAAAAACTTTCGAAGCTTATTAATCGAGAACTCGTGATCCGACGAGAATACCGCTTCCACAGCGATGACTTATTTTGACAGGAGAATAGTATTATACGTTTGAAATTTTTTTCTCGCACATTTGGATTCTCACCCGTCTGTCACATGACAAACTTTTGAAGCTTATAAATCGAGAAATCGTGATCTGACGAGAATGCGGTTTCCACGACGATGACTTATTTTGACAGGAGAATAGTGCTATACATTTGAAATATTGTTCTTGCACATTTGGATTCTCACCCGTCTGTCACATGAAAAACTTTCAAAGCTTATTAATCGAGAACTCGTAATCCGACGAGAATGCGGTTTCCACGACGATGCCTTATTTTGACAGGAGAATAGTGCTATACATTTGAAATATTGCTCTTGCACATTTGGATTCTCACCCGTCTGTCACATGAAAAACTTTCAAAGCTTATTAATCGAGAACTTGTAATCCGACGAGAATACGGCTTCCACAGCGATGACTTATTTTGACAGGAGAATAGTATTATACGTTTGAAATTTTTCTTTCGCACATTTGGATTCTCATCCGTCTGTCACATGAAAAACTTTCAAAGCTTATTAATCGAGAACTCGTAATCCGACGAGCATACGGCTTCCACAGCGATGACTTATTTTGACAGGAGAATAGTATTATACGTTTGAAATTTTTCTTTCGCATATTTGAATTCTCACCCGTCTGTCACATGACAAACTTTTGAGGCTTATAAATCGAGAACTCGTGATCCGACGAGAATGCGGTTTCCACGACGATGACTTATTTTGACAGGAGAATAGTGCTATACATTTGAAATATTGCTCTTGCACATTTGGATTCTCACCCGTCTGTCACATAAGAAACTTTCGAAGCTTATTAATCGAGAACTCGTAATCCGACGAGAATACGGTTTTCACAGCGATGACTTATTTTGATAGAAGAATAGTGTTATACGTTTGAAATTTTTCTTTCGCACATTTGGATTCTCACCCGTCTGTCACATGAAAAACTTTCAAAGCTTATTAATCGAGAACTCGTAATCCGACGAGAATACGGCTTCCACAGCGATGACTTATTTTGACAGGAGAATAGTATTATACGTTTGAAAATTTCTTTCGCATATTTGAATTCTCACCCGTGTGTCACATGACATACTTTCAAAGCTTATTAATTGAGAACTCGTAATCCAACGGGAATGCGGCTTCCACAGCGGTGACTTATTTTGACAGGAGAATAGTGCTATACATTTGAAATATTGCTCTTGCACATTTGGATTCTCACTCGTCTATCACATGACAAACTTTCAAAACTTATTAATCGAGGACTCGTGATGAAAATTTCTTTTGTATTTATGACAAAACGTATGCAGGAATGCGAAAGCGGGTGGGCGCTATCGCGAATACTCAATCTTACAATCAACGTAAACAAATACAATCCGTTGCACGCGGAGCGTCACTTTGAGTTGAATACAGCTGAAGCGAACTGTGATTAACGTGAAATCTACACTGTAAAAAAAATGTGTAAAATTTCACATATAATGAGTGTAACGATTACATTATTAATAATGGAAATGTATAAATTCACGTTCTTTTACAAAAGTGAGTATTTTTACTCTGTGTTATGTGAATAATTCTTTATATTTGACGAAAAATTACAAGATTAAAAGTATAATTCATAGATTGTATGTAAATTACAATTTTTTTTGTAACAATACATAGTATACGATAATATTACATAACATATGATAATTTCACACATCATAACTACATTTTTACGTAAATTTACGTAAGTTTACTTAAGTTTATATTGTAAAAATAAACAAAAATTATTTAATTTACAATTACTCGTTATTAAATATAGAGAACTCGTTTAGCATTAATTTCATGTTTGCACCATTAATTTTTAATTAACTCGTATAGTTAGATAATTTGACATTTGCGATAAGATATATTTTTGTATATATATTTATGCATTATTATATACATAATAATATGTATGTAATTTAATGTACGTATTGTTGCATTTAGCAGAACTGCTGAATTGCCATCTTTTTAACAATCGATATTAATGTATTAAATAAACAAAACTTGGGTATGTT